AGGTCTTTTCCAACCCAGTTGGTTCTACGATTCTATGATTTCCAGTGGCTGCTTTAAAAGTTGGTACAAATATCACCAATTTTTCTCTTTTGCAATTACATGATTTAATGTGGTAATGATTTGAGGTGATTTAATGATTAAATTAGTGATTTATGGGAGACATTAGTTATCTTGAAGAGAAGCCCTGCTGAAGGCTGTGGAGATTAGCAGAGGTTTAAAAATGCCTCCTGGCTCTGGGGATGGAGAATTGCAGCAGAGCTCCATCTGTTAGTTAAAACTTGTGAACATTTTGTGTAGAGCATGAGTGAATCCTGCTCCAAATGTGCCAGAGCATGTGAAAAGTGCCTGGAGTGTCAGATCTACTCAGTGTAAGCTTGTCAGTTCACAGCTTGTCCTGTTTGGAGAGCAGCAGAGCTGTGCTGCCCCAGGAGCTCTCACATCTGCTGATTGTGCTGCAGTCACAGCTTCTTCCCAGGCTTTCCCCTCGCATCTGCCCTGGGGGGATTTGTGTCCCTGCTCCAGCTCAGCTTTGCTGTTGGCTCCTGGAGCAGGGAACAAGGCAGTAATCCCTCCCACCATCCCCTGTCTTGCCTGCACAGGGGAACTGCTGTTTCCCAGTGGAAAGTTGCTGCTTCCTAACCTGCCTTGTGAGGTGGGTAAGACAGACAGCTGCCATGGCAGCTTCAGGGGACAGGAGAATTTATCCACAGAGATCTGTCCCATTAGCTAATGGCATTATTCTATAATGCTGTTGTTACCAAGAGCACATATATCATTTGTGATCCTGCTGCTGTTTGAATTACTGTCTGGAAAAATGGAAATGGGGTTGTGTAGCCTGGAGAAGAGGAGGCTCAGGGGGACCTTATTGCTCTCTATAGCCACCTGACAGGAGCTTGGAGCCAGGTGGGTGTCTCTTCTCCCAGGTAACAAGTGACAGGACAAGAGCAAATAGCTTCAAGTAGCACCAGAGGAGGTCTACATTGGATATTAGGAAAGATTTTTTTATAGAAAGGGTTGTCAGGCATTGGACAGGCTGCACAGGGAAGTGATGGAGTTATCATCCCTGGGAGTATTGAAAAAACACATGGATACAACACCTAAGGACATGGTTTAGTGGTGAACATGGTAGTGTTGGGTTTACAGTTGGACTTGATGATCTTAAAGGTCTTTTCCAGCCTTAACAATTCCATGATTCTGTGGCCGTCAGGGAGTTGTCTTCCTGCCTGTTAAAACTCTGACGGTGTTGTGTGTCACTCTAAAAGTAACTTAGATGTTAGCTAACTTGAGGAACTTCCACCTTTCAAGTGACTGTTTCCTAGAGGATGTTACAAGACTGGAAATGACTTTTCTGATAAGCAGCTTAGAGGTTTATTTACATTATTCCCCAATTAAACTTCTTTTGGGTTGGAAGGACCTCAAATCTCATCTTGTTCCACTCCCTGCCGTGCGCCGGAGCACTTTCCACTAGCCCAGGTTGCTCCAAGCCCCAACCAACCTGGCCTGGAACACTTCCAGGGATGAGGCACTAACTAACTTGGGATCTTATTACAAATCTTCTGTAATGATGACTTACTTGGAAATGCTTTTCCTGTAATGCAGCAGTTGGGATTTGGCAACAGCCAGTAAAGAAAATGATCTTCAGCTTGAATATCACGCTCTGGTGTAGTTAACTCCTGCTCTTAGTTTGGTGCTTTGAATGGTTTCTTGTCTGGTAGCAGTTTTATTAATGTTGTCATGGAAGTATGTCCTGTATTTTTGTACCACCTTAGTATATCTGGTGGTTTTCTCCCAGGCAGTCTGTATAGACGTAGAGAAAAGTGAACGTGTTGTTGAATCCATCCAAGCCGATGTCAACAAGTTAAAAAGGCAGATTGCACAGAAGAAGAACGAAAAGGAGCAAGAAATCAGTAAGTTGCCTTTTCATTATCTTATTTTTTTTCCCTAAAGCAGATGCTGTAAGGAAAAATGTTTTGTGGAATTAAACAAGTTTGTTGTATAGGGGAAAAGTGCCATTGGGAAGGGTATATGGTGGATTTACATTGCATGACACCTGAACTGTGAGAGTGTGTGTACTGCAGGTGTTTCTGTAGGAGCCATCCAGTGTTAGCAGACTGAAACATAGGAGAGAGACAGTGCTGTAGAGAAAGAATGAGAAAGTCACTTTTGGAAATAACACAGGAAAAGACCAGTTGTAGGAAAGGAGAAGTGGAGCAAAACAGGAGTGGAAAAAAAAGATCTAAACACTGGAAAGGTTCCTCTAGAATTATGAGATAGGAACAAGATACTGTGTTTACAGACCAGGAGCTATCCATGGTTTTTTAACCATGGACCTGGAGTACTGCACACAGTTCTGGTGTCTCCAACATCAGAAGGACGTGGAACTGTTGGAGCAAGTCCAGAGGAGGCTACAAAGCTGATAAGAGGACTGGAACAGCTTTGCTGTAAGAGAGCTGGGGCTGTTCAGCCTGGAGAGGAGAAGGTTGTGTGGAGACCTCAGAGCAACCTGCAGGAGCTGAAGGGGCTCCAGGGAAGCTGCAGAGGGACTCTGTGTTAGGAGCTGCAGGGACAGGACAAGGGGCAATGGAGACAAATTGAAAGAGGGAAATTTAGATGTTAGGCAGAGGTTTTCCCTGTGAGGGTGGTGAGACACTGGCCCAGGTTGCCCAGGGAAGCTGTGGCTGCCCCAACCCTGGCAGTGTTCACAGTCAGGTTGGATGAGCCTTGAGCAACCTGCTCTGGTGGGAGGCGTCCCTGCCCAGGGCAGGGGTTGGGGCTGGGTGATCTCTAAGGTCCATTCCAACCCCTTGACATTCTGTGATTCTATTCCCTTTCCCACTCCGCAGCGCCACCCCAAACACAAGCCCAGCAGCAGTTAAGTTCAGTTACTGGACAGCAGACAAACTGGGTTGAGGAAAAACAAGTGCTTAAGTGATGCATATTGATGCAGATCATCTGAAGTGTTGTGTAGATGCTTTTTGACCTTGCAGTTTTTAGTTGTTTAGTTGTTTTCTCCAGTGATTTAGAGACCATCTATATTTTTATCCTTCCTCCCACTTGATAGTTCCGGAATCCTAATTGGCATTTTTAGCAATTCTTTGCTGACTTAGTGAACATGTTTAGTATTGAACTAAATCTTTTTAGGTGTTTGTTCACCTTCTTTTTTGCTGCTCCGTAAGATCCTGAATCAGTGAGACTTACTGCAGGAGCATACTGGGCTGGTTGCCACACTGTGCCTCCTGCCTAAGAACTGAGTGTGGCCTTAGGAGACTTTTGCTTAGCAGTAGATAAGTTTTGAAGGTGGAGAGTAGGAACAGGTAACAGGCAAATGGGAAGTAAGATTGGAACCCTGAAATGATAAGCAAATAACCAAATGTTGTGATTTTAGTTGCAACAAGATGGTTTTTATTACTTGTGTGTCCTGTTGTCTACAGCTGTGTCTGAGGCTAGAAGATGGTTTAGGTGAGTGAACACCCTAAACTCTGCCTAGACCTTCTGCTGCCTTGGCTGGATACGTTCATTTTCTCCAGGCAGCAATGTACTGTTACCACATGAGCATTTTAGAGCACAGTTTGATCTGCCAGCCCAGGTTCTTCCTCTGAGCCTCAGAGATAAGGTAAAAAAAGAGTCAGCATCGGCCCAGGAGCATTTAAAAGCTGGAAGTGGCAGGAGTCACTGCCATTTCCTGCTTGGCTGGAGATGAAGCAGGCAGGGAGCTGCTACTGTGGAGAAGTTGAGGTGGGTATTTAGTGTGAGTGGAGCAGATCCCAGCACACGTGGGAAGAGCTGGGGGAGGAGCAGTCAGTGCTAGCCTCTAGGTACTAGCTTGTGTGTCTGCTGTATTTTTAGATGGGAGTAGCTAAATACTGCAGCTGGCCTGTTCTCTCACTTGCTCAGTGTAGGGAGAGTTTCCTTGGGTTTAGTGAGTAAAATGTTCCAGTTAATCCTTCTTTGCGCTGGAGGAAAAGGGAGAACTTGATTCAAGCTCCCGTGGTAGTGTTGTGTGAAAGCTTCTTGTGCTTGCAGAGTAACAGGTTATGACTTCAACACTTCAGCATAAAAATCAGTTGAGACTTCAGCTGCCAGATCCCTAAATCAGTTGTGTACGTGGAGCACCATGTTGCAAAAACCGGAGTGCTGTTACATAGCCACGTGAGGAAATATGCCCTTTTTATTTCCAAGAGCTATCCCATTGACGAAGGAACTCTTCAGCCTTCATTTGTGGTTTTGCCAGCACTGAGGTGTTACAGTAAGCTGAGCTTACTGTCACCTTACATACACCTGTGTCAATTCTGGAAGGTGTTTGGAGAGGGATAACCAGTTAGAAACCAGTCAGAAACTTGAGTCTCTCCCAGTGCTTAGCAAAACTTCCTCCAAGGAAGTTTTTCATCATGTCCACTGTATCCTACTCAAACTTACCTTTCTATTCTTAGGCACTGTGGAAGAGTGAAATTATTTCCTCAGACTTCCCTACTGATCCCAGTTATTAGTCTTTCCTCTTAGGTCATGATTTTTAGGTCTCCAATGAGTCTTTTTATAGAGTTTCTCTACTTTTCCCTACTTTTTTTAAACTGTGGTGTTCAAAAGGAGAGATGTGTTCCAGTTGTAGCCTTAACCATGGCAGTGAAATCACACAGACCTGTGTCTCAGCACCTGAGCACACCTTGTGCGTGTCAATGTCTACAGTTTGCACAAATCAAACGTTTCTTTTCTGTGACTGTGCCTCATTCTCTAGGTTTTGCCATTATCCCTGTGCACATCTTCCTTGAGTTCATTTTCAAATCACCTCATTCATAATGACGTTCACATTCCTCTTACACTTGCAGCTGTAATTCCATCACTGAGGTTTTTAATGCCAGTACAGTTTTTAAAGTAGTAATTTGAAGGAAGAAGACAAGGAAGCTTCTTTGCAGGTGTTGCTGAGGTTGTCTCCTGGCACAAGGGAGAGGAAGTACGAAGGGATATTTTTAAGATGTAATAGCAACAGTAGATGAGAAGTGAATTGAGGTTTCAGGATTAAGGCACAGGTGGGGAGGAGGAGGCAGGATGAGCCCTGGCATAGGTACTCTGATGTGAGGAGGAACAGAGAAACACCGAGAGAAGATGAGGTGGAAAGAGCAACAGATTATGGAAACACCTTGTAGCTGTGTTTTTGGGAGCTCAAACTGGAGGAAATGAACTGTAGGGGATGACTGTGCACATGAAAATGTGGCACACTTGCACTTGGATGTTTATTTGCTTCCTGACACATTTTGTTTTTGAAATGGGATCACTAGGATAACTGAGTCATGCTGATACTGATGAGTTTCATGGCTGCGCTGCTAAATTTAGGGAGGGAGAGAGGAGAGGAGAAGGAGAGAGGGAGAAGAGGAGGAGGAGAAGGAAGGGGGGAGAAGAGGAGAAGGAAGGAGAGAAGAGGAGGAGGAGAGAGAGAAGAGGAGGAGGAGAGAGAGAAGAGGAGGAGAGAGAGAGAGAGAGGAGGAGGAGGAGGAGAGGAGAGTGCAGGACTAGGCAAGGTGCCGTAGGCACGGCTGGGTCTGTTGCCAAGCAAGCACT